AAATAGACAAAAAAATGATAATGAATACATTATTATTGAAGCCGTCTAACGAAATAAACCGCAACACTAATATCCCTTTTTAATGTACGTCAAGAACTGTTTTCCTCCATTCTATTTATACGAGTTTCACCTCGAAAACATGTTTTAAAAATACTTACCATTTTCCTAGTTAAAATAAACATTCACTTTTGAATGACACACATTGAATAAAAACTCCACCTTGTGACATTTGGTTAATTGTTGAATTATTTTCTTCACAAAATTCGAGTTATTGGCTGTCAGACAATCAGCTCTTGCTCTCGCAGGGTCGGTTCATTTTGTGCATGCACAAAATGGAAGCCAATTTTTAAGGGGTTGCAGACACCCAAACTCGGAATAAATAAGTTTTTTCTCATTAAAACAAAACTAACAAATTGAAGATTCGTTGGGAGCCAAAATTCCATTTTGGGGTATCATCTTTAATGTAAAAAACTTGGACTCGGATGCTCCAACAAGCCACCGTGACTTAGTGTATCATATAGATTTGTGGCTAAGAGCGGGATGAAGAATGACTACGACGAATACAAAGACACACTGGTATGAGCTCGGCTATAATGGAGAAATGATTTTATTCTCAAGAACTCAAAACCTGGTCTTGTATAATTACAGAAATAGGAGACAGAAGACAGAAAATCGTAGATGAAGACTGGCCAGAGCATAGGGCTGCATCAGCTTATGGCTATGCCTCTGGTTTCCCAGGGAGAAGGAGAACTCAATGAAAGTGGGAAAATGTGGACATTAGAGGGACCACTTTGAGTCGGAAAATAGCAGATGATGTCATATAAGGAAAACATACCTTACATGACATCATTTCTGAGTAGTAGACTGACCATAGACTGACGTAATGGTCAGTCTGGGGGGAGTACCCTTATGAGGTAATTTTCCCCTGTACGAGGGTTAAATCACAGTCTTGGTATGCTGTGGGCCGGGTGTATTGCTTGGAAAAGAGTGACGTGAAGACCTTGGGGTGTAATGTGGAACACCTGTTGTGAGAGTGGTATCAGGGATAGTCCAAACTTCGGTCTCACATTAGCACATACTGGCGGCTATGGCGTGTCAAACGTTGCAATATTCAATATTTTGCAATATATATGTTGGATGTTCAATATGTGCTTGTTATCTTTTACATTTATGTGCAATGTTCAATATAAGTGTGCGATGTTTTTCATTATTTGCGCGATGTTTAATATATTTGTGCGATGTTTTACAATATATGTGCGATGTTCAATATAATGTGCGATGTTTTACATTTATATGCGATTTTCAATTTATATGTGCGATGTTTTTGACGATATATATGTGCGATGTTTTCAATATTATGTTCGATTTTTTGCATTAAATGTGCGATGTTTTTCGATACAATTGTGTGTGTTGTTTTACAATATATTTGCGATATTCTCAAATATCGTCACCGACACCACGAAGTAACACCCATCTACATACCAGTAAAAACTAGCAATCGGAGAAAACGGCAACTAAAGTTGAACGCCTTCAAAAACAACACTTTGTGTCAAAACCACAGAGTATTTTCAGTTGGGTTTCGCGTTGTCTCAATGTGAGCAATGTTTTACACATATGTTTGACATTTCGAGCTATTTGTATTCGATGTTTCATCGGTATATTTGCATTCGATCTTTTGCAATATGCATTTGATGTTTCCCTTTTCATTCGATGTTTCGTTAAGAGTCAAAGTCTGGTTACTAGACCGCGAAAGTCTGGCTATTTTGCCTAAAGTCAGTGTATGAGACGTCAGGGGATCGCGTAAAGTGATTAGAGCCAGACCTAAACGGTAAAAACCGGAATTGTGGGTAATTCTTTAAGCATACGCAATGCGTTCATCATTGTTTGGGCAGTACCCCATGCAGCTGTGCCTGTACTACCCCTAGTGTTATGTGCATCATCTATGCATTGAGGAGTGCATGAAACATGGTCTGAGCTCCAAGGCCGATGTGCACCTGTCCCGTTTAATGATCCAGTTACCTGATAATTTGTTAGCATAAGCTGAAAGTAGTATAGGCGGAGCAGCTCGACCCCCGTTGAGGTGGGATTGAGGTGGGATTGAGGTGGGATTGAGGTGGGATTGAGGTGGGATTGAGGTGGGATTGAGGTGGGATTGAGGTGGGATTGAGGTGGGATTGAGGTGGGATTGAGGTGGCATGAGGTGGCATGAGGTGGCATGAGGTGGCATGAGGTGGGATGAGGTGGCATGAGGTGGCATGAGGTGGGATTGAGGTGGGATTGAGGTGGGATTGAGGTGGGATTGAGGTGGGATTGAGGTGGCATGAGGTGGCATGAGGTGGCATGAGGTGGGATGAGGTGGCATGAGGTGGGATGAGGTGGTATGAGGTGGGATGAGGTGGAGGTGGAATGAGGTGGAGGTGGAATGAGGTGGAGGTGGTATGAGGTGGAGGTGGTATGAGGTGGAGGTGGGATAAGGTAAAAGTGAATTTTTTTTTTTTTTTTTTTTTAAATTTTAAAATGATTTTTTTTTTTTTATTTATTTTTTTTTTTTTAAATTTATATATTTTATTTATTTATGTTTATTTATTTATTTATTTATTTATTTATTTATTTATTTATTTTTTTTTTTATGTCGTTTTAGTTTATTATTATTATTATTTTTTTTTATTAACGGAGCCACGTAAGTGGCGACATTGGCCTTACGCTAGTAACCCGAACGGAGTGGAACTGTAGCGTAAGTCTCGAGACTTGTCTCGAGGCTAGCGTGTGAGCGATGAAGTCGCGAGCACGGCTCTAGTGCTCTGGGTTTCCCCTAACCTACGGAGCCACGGTAGTGGCGACATTGGCCTTACGCTAGTAACCCGAACGGAGTGGAACTGTAGCGTAAGTCTCGAGACTTGTCTCGAGGCTAGTGTGTGAGCGATGAAGTCGCGAGCACGGCTCTAGTGCTGTTTTATTTTATTTATTTTTGTATTTATTTATTTATATATTTACTTCTTTTTTTTTCTTTTTTTTTTGTCTTCAAAAATAGACTATTGAACTAATCTAAGAAAGTTGTCGTGAACACGAAGTTAAAACGTTTGTACAGTGTGAAGTCCAGAGCCCCAATGGGCTTTTTCAATTTCTAAAGACGGGCTTTCTCAATTTCTAAAGACGGGCTGCCAATCACCTTGATTAAAACGAAGTTAAAACGTTATGCAGGCTAAATACACTTCCTATATGGGCTTTCCTAATTTATACAGATGAGCTTTCTCAACTTCTAAGATGAGCGGTCTGTCACATGGGCCTCTGTTCTAATTCTAAGACTGGTGCCAGTGGTCCGTGGGAAAGACCCGTGGTTGTCGGAGAAACTTCTACAACAATCATCACATGGGCTTTCCTAATTTCTAAAGATGGGCTTTCTTAATTTCTAAGATGAGCTGTCCGTCACATTGGCCTCTGTTCTAATTCTAAGACTGGTGCCAGTGTTCCGTGGAAAAGACCCGTGGTTGCCGGAGAAATTTCTTCGTCGCGAGCAGGGCCCGTACGGAGTCACGTTAGTGGCGACATTGAGCTCACGCCAGTGAACCCTAACGGAGTGGGGAATTCGCAAGTCTCGAGCAGCGCTCTAGGTCTCTGGTGCCCTGGACCCTTCATCGCTAACAATTCAATTCGATTCATTTCAATTCAGTTCAATATTTTATTTTATCAGAACATATTTAAACATGGTGGTCTAATAAGGAGGCACAAGTCTCGATCGTAGACACGCTCCAACAAGTCCGGAGTTACGCGGCGATTGGGTAGTCTAAGCATTTGACCTCGTTTTCCGGTGGAGGATCATGATCCTCATCGAGGATCATATCGGTAACCCCGACGAGGATCACCAAACGGGGCGTGTCTGAGGCGTTGTGACGTCATGGATCATGGACAAATCGATAATAAGGTAGGGTTTAACACTGAATGAGTATTATTGCTTGAAGATAATAGTACAACAAAAGGGGAGAACGGTATACGACTATGCAGACAACGCGCGTGTAAGGGAATAGTAATTATATGTTGTTTTAGTAACTTGAAGCGTCAGTAAAAATTAAAACAATAGATTAACCCAATTCATGGATGAAGGCGGTTATCGATGTCTTATCGATGGGCATACTTCGTGAATGAAACTTTATTGTTCTTTTTTGTTGTTGTTGGTTTTTTTAAAATTATTATTATTAATCAGGCGACACGTTATCGAGATGGGACCAAATACAAAAACATTTAAAATTATACCTGTATTTGTTGCGAATGGGTGTTATCGTAATGTATTATACAGTATACAAATATAAATGTACCAGTAATGAAAAATGACTTATAACCTGGAGACACGGACACGCAAAAAACAAAAAACAAAACCCACAGTATCACACCGAATTTGTATTTACAAGTACGTGTATTGGGTTTTATTTCACAACACAAAATCAATAACATAACAATAAGTAGTATTACATGTATTTACATTCTTTAATTTATTTACATTTTGCATTTCACTCCCCACGCTTTGACGATTTGTATCCGTAGTCGGCTATTTTCGTATCATTTATATCAGTTCATTACTATTGTTCTGTTACCCACACCATTTCTGATGGTCCAGAGTAGTCTTGGTATACTCGAATGGGGAAATCCGTGTACGTCGTAGTGCTGAGTCATCGAAGGATGGCAACAAGAAGCCGGACAAGTCCGGTCTTGTCCAGTCGTCATAGGTCTGAATTCGCGGTGCTTTTAAATATCTCCATGTACTGGCAATTGGCGTTTATTAGAGGAACGTTCGATGTTCATCGTTTCTGGGGATTAGCGGTGTCGTAGACACAAGTCTGAGCATAGTATTTTGATTGAATTTCAGGGAATCTTGACCAGGATAGGATCAGACTGAGTTTTCCAATGTACGTACCGTACTGTTTTCTTTTCCACCAAAGGCACTACAGAATACTATTATTTTTTTAAGAATTACAATAGACTTTTCTCAAACTACTAGTCTTCAGTCAACACTCGTCTTCCTCAAGATCTCGGAACAGTCCGTCAAATTTGGCTTGGTGTTTAGGCATTATCCTGTTCAGGGCTGTGTTTACTTCTGTGCCTTTATTAATTTTTCTTTCCAGCTCTTCAACAATTTCCTGATGAGTATCATTATCTTTCAAATGCAGGTAACTTGACAAAAAATCCTTGTAGTTGTTGAAAAAGCATCGCTTGACTGCCCAGAGTGTCTTCCTATTTGCTTTTTCCTTGGCTTGATCTTCATCCATACACCCGTTGACGTACTTTTCATATTTCTCACTCCACATCTCTTCAGTGGCGTCTTTGGCGTCTTCCAACCAGTCTTGATAGGCGGCATTGTCTTCCAAATCAGAACTAGACTCATCTTCATCCGATAATTCGTCTTCTTCTACCTCCGTTTCGGATTCCGAATAACCTTCCTCGAAAACTTCGTCTTCATTCTCCGAAGATTCAGCTTCACGGTTTTCTATTTCCGAATCTTCAAATGACTCTTCTTCGTCCGATGAATTGTCATCTTTTACCTCCGTTTCGGATTCCGAATACTCTTCATCGAAATCTTCGTCTTCATCCTGCGTAGATTCAGTTCTACAGTTTTCTATTTCCGAATCTTCAAATCTACGCTTTTTAAAATCAGGTTCAGAATTTTCCACATCAACGTCCTCCACTTTAACTTCCTCTTCAGCATGTACATTTTCTATATGCCTCCGTAGGTTATATCTCCGTCCAAAGCTCTTGTCACACTTGTGACAAACATGGGATTTGTCTACAGAAATAGCATTCATGTTGAGTGTTTGATGGTTAATCTGCAAATGGCAAGAAACGGATGAAAACATTTGATATGTAGCTACTCATTCCACTAATTTCGCTGCTCGTGCTCAAATTTGCTCACGCATTGCCCTTTCATTGCTCAGTTACTCACCCCTTACTCTATTCTTGCTCCTTTGCTCGCCCCTTACTCTATTCTTGCTCCTTTGCTCACCCATTACTCTATTCTTGCTCCTTTGCTCACCCATTACTCTATTCTTGCTCCTTTGCTCACCCCTTACTCTATTCTTGCTCCTTTGCGCATTCCTTGCTCATTTCTTGCTCAGTCACTCACCCCTTATTCTATTTTTGCTCTTTTTGCTCATTCCTTGCTCATTTCTTGCTCTTCTCTTGCTCCTTCCTATCTCATTTCTTTCTCTTCTTTGTTTGCTCCCTGTTTTCGACAGTTCCATGACAATGAGCAAACACGTAGCAAACATATGCAAATCTATCAACTACCACAACAGGAACATATCCAAGATTCGTAAATACATAGACACAAACACATGCCACGCCGCTGTCCGAGCACTTGTACTGTCCAGACTCGATTATTGCAACTCTCTTCTCAATGGTATTAATCAGTATGAGGTTGATCGACTCCAACGGCTTCAAAACAATGCCGCTCGTATCACATTATCTCAACCCAAATGCACACATGCCTCTCCACTCCTTTAACAATTACATTGGTTACCAGTTAGACAACGCATCAACTGCAAAACAGCAGTTTTCATTCACAAAGCACTTCATAACACAATGCCGCAGTACATAATGGGATCACTCAACTTTATGCACCCAGCCGTAGTGGCCTCCGCTCCAGTAACAACCTTAGAGTTCCACACACATTCAAAAAGGCAGGGGACAGGGCCTTCTCAGTGTCTGGTCCCCGATGCTGGAATTCCTTGTCACACAACATCCACAACATCAGTTCTCTTGACAACTTTAAGGGCAAACTGAAAACTGATCTGTTTTCTCCTCATAATCTGTAACTTGTCTTCTGGAGATGTCCTTAGTCGCGCATTGTTACTTGCGAAAATGCGCGCTATCAATCGTGTTATTATTATTATTATTACCTGCAAGTGCTGGCTAAGGGAAGCGACATGCAACGCCACGGTGTGATACAAGGAGCAAGACAAGAGCAAAAAGAGCAAGAAATGAGCAAAGGAGCAAGAGAAGAGCAAGAAATGAGCAAGGAATGAGCAAAAAGAGCAAAAATAGAATAAGGGGTGAGTGACTGAGCAAGAAATGAGCAAGGAATGCGCAAAGGAGCAAGAAATGAGCAAGGAATGCGCAAAGGAGCAAGAATAGAGTAAGGGGTGAGCAAAGGAGCAAGAATAGAGTAATGGGTGAGCAAAGGAGCAAGAATAGAGTAAGGGGCGAGCAAAGGAGCAAGAATATAGAGTAAGGAGTGAGCAAAGGAGCAAGAATAGAGTAAGGGGCGAGCAAAGGAGCAAGAATAGAGTAAGGGGTGAGTAACTGAGCAATGAAAGGGCAATGCGTGAGCAAATTTGAGCACGAGCAGCGAAATTAGTGGAATGAGTAGCTACATATCAAATGTTTTCATCCGTTTCTTGCCATTTGCAGATTAACCATCAAACACTCAACATGAATGCTATTTCTGTAGACAAATCCCATGTTTGTCACAAGTGTGACAAGAGCTTTGGACGGAGATATAACCTACGGAGGCATATAGAAAATGTACATGCTGAAGAGGAAGTTAAAGTGGAGGACGTTGATGTGGAAAATTCTGAACCTGATTTTAAAAAGCGTAGATTTGAAGATTCGGAAATAGAAAACTGTAGAACTGAATCTACGCAGGATGAAGACGAAGATTTCGATGAAGAGTATTCGGAATCCGAAACGGAGGTAAAAGATGACAATTTATCGGACGAAGAAGAGTCATTTGAAGATTCGGAAATAGAAAACCGTGAAGCTGAATCTTCGGAGAATGAAGACGAAGTTTTCGAGGAAGGTTATTCGGAATCCGAAACGGAGGTAGAAGAAGACGAATTATCGGATGAAGATGAGTCTAGTTCTGATTTGGAAGACAATGCCGCCTATCAAGACTGGTTGGAAGACGCCAAAGACGCCACTGAAGAGATGTGGAGTGAGAAATATGAAAAGTACGTCAACGGGTGTATGGATGAAGATCAAGCCAAGGAAAAAGCAAATAGGAAGACACTCTGGGCAGTCAAGCGATGCTTTTTCAACAACTACAAGGATTTTTTGTCAAGTTACCTGCATTTGAAAGATAATGATACTCATCAGGAAATTGTTGAAGAGCTGGAAAGAAAAATTAATAAAGGCACAGAAGTAAACACAGCCCTGAACAGGATAATGCCTAAACACCAAGCCAAATTTGACGGACTGTTCCGAGATCTTGAGGAAGACGAGTGTTGACTGAAGACTAGTAGTTTGAGAAAAGTCTATTGTAATTCTTAAAAAAATAATAGTATTCTGTAGTGCCTTTGGTGGAAAAGAAAACAGTACGGTACGTACATTGGAAAACTCAGTCTGATCCTATCCTGGTCAAGATTCCCTGAAATTCAATCAAAATACTATGCTCAGACTTGTGTCTACGACACCGCTAATCCCCAGAAACGATGAACATCGAACGTTCCTCTAATAAACGCCAATTGCCAGTACATGGAGATATTTAAAAGCACCGCGAATTCAGACCTATGACGACTGGACAAGACCGGACTTGTCCGGCTTCTTGTTGCCATCCTTCGATGACTCAGCACTACGACGTACACGGATTTCCCCATTCGAGTATACCAAGACTACTCTGGACCATCAGAAATGGTGTGGGTAACAGAACAATAGTAATGAACTGATATAAATGATACGAAAATAGCCGACTACGGATAAAAATCGTCAAAGCGTGGGGAGTGAAATGCAAAATGTAAATAAATTAAAGAATGTAAATACATGTAATACTACTTATTGTTATGTTATTGATTTTGTGTTGTGAAATAAAACCCAATACACGTACTTGTAAATACAAATTCGGTGTGATACTGTGGGTTTTGTTTTTTGTTTTTTGCGTGTCCGTGTCTCCAGGTTATAAGTCATTTTTCATTACTGGTACATTTATATTTGTATACTGTATAATACATTACGATAACACCCATTCGCAACAAATACAGGTATAATTTTAAATGTTTTTGTATTTGGTCCCATCTCGATAACGTGTCGCCTGATTAATAATAATAATTTAAAAAAAACCAACAACAACAAAAAAGAACAATAAAGTTTCATTCACGAAGTATGCCCATCGATAAGACATCGATAACCGCCTTCATCCATGAATTGGGTTAATCTATTGTTTTAATTTTTACTGACGCTTCAAGTTACTAAAACAACATATAATTACTATTCCCTTACACGCGCGTTGTCTGCATAGTCGTATACCGTTCTCCCCTTTTGTTGTACTATTATCTTCAAGCAATAATACTCATTCAGTGTTAAACCCTACCTTATTATCGATTTGTCCATGATCCATGACGTCACAACGCCTCAGACACGCCCCGTTTGGTGATCCTCGTCGGGGTTACCGATATGATCCTCGATGAGGATCATGATCCTCCACCGGAAAACGAGGTCAAATGCTTAGACTACCCAATCGCCGCGTAACTCCGGACTTGTTGGAGCGTGTCTACGATCGAGACTTGTGCCTCCTTATTAGACCACCATGTTTAAATATGTTCTGATAAAATAAAATATTGAACTGAATTGAAATGAATCGAATTGAATTGTTAGCGATGAAGGGTCCAGGGCACCAGAGACCTAGAGCGCTGCTCGAGACTTGCGAATTCCCCACTCCGTTAGGGTTCACTGGCGTGAGCTCAATGTCGCCACTAACGTGACTCCGTACGGGCCCTGCTCGCGACGAAGAAATTTCTCCGGCAACCACGGGTCTTTTCCACGGAACACTGGCACCAGTCTTAGAATTAGAACAGAGGCCAATGTGACGGACAGCTCATCTTAGAAATTAAGAAAGCCCATCTTTAGAAATTAGGAAAGCCCATGTGATGATTGTTGTAGAAGTTTCTCCGACAACCACGGGTCTTTCCCACGGACCACTGGCACCAGTCTTAGAATTAGAACAGAGGCCCATGTGACGGACCGCTCATCTTAGAAGTTGAGAAAGCTCATCTGTATAAATTAGGAAAGCCCATATAGGAAGTGTATTTAGCCTGCATAACGTTTTAACTTCGTTTTAATCAAGGTGATTGGCAGCCCGTCTTTAGAAATTGAGAAAGCCCGTCTTTAGAAATTGAAAAAGCCCATTGGGGCTCTGGACTTCACACTGTACAAACGTTTTAACTTCGTGTTCACGACAAACTTTCTTAGATTAGTTCAATAGTCTATTTTTGAAGACAAAAAAAAAAGAAAAAAAAGAAGTAAATATATAAATAAATAAATACAAAAATAAATAAAATAAAACAGCACTAGAGCCGTGCTCGCGACTTCATCGCTCACACGCTAGCCTCGAGACAAGTCTCGAGACTTACGCTACAGTTCCACTCCGTTCGGGTTACTAGCGTAAGGCCAATGTCGCCACTTACGTGGCTCCGTTAATAAAAAACTAATAATAATAATAATAAACTAAAACGACATAAAAAAAAAAAAAAAAAAATAAATAAATAAATAAATAAATAAATAAATAAATAAAACATAAATAAATAAAATATATAAATTTAAAAAAAAAAAAATAAAAAAAAAAAAAAAAATCATTTTAAAATTAAAAAAAAAAAAAAAAAAAAAAATTCACTTTTACCTTATCCCACCTCCACCTCATACCACCTCCACCTCATACCACCTCCACCTCATTCCACCTCCACCTCATTCCACCTCCACCTCATCCCACCTCATACCACCTCATCCCACCTCATGCCACCTCATCCCACCTCATGCCACCTCATGCCACCTCATGCCACCTCAATCCCACCTCAATCCCACCTCAATCCCACCTCAA